TAATAATAATAATAATAATATAGGCTTTTTTCAGTTCAAATGTACAGATAACAAATCCAAAGACCGCATAGAAAGACCAAATTACACCTAGCAACTCCAAATATACAAAAGCCGTTATAAAAAGTCCTAATACAACAATAGCAAGTTCAAATGTAAACAAAGAAATCTCAAATGTAACACATAGCAAATTCAAATGCCATATGGCAATTTCAAATGTAAATATGGTTGAAATGGAAGAAAAAGAGTTTAAAAATATAAGAAGTGTATCAAGGCAAGAAGTAAAAGGGTTTTGTGTTTTTTGTCATGGAAAAGTTAGATGTATGTAAGCCGTGTGGTGACACAAGGAAGAAATCACGTGAAACGAAAGTAATTGTCAATTTTTTAAAACCCGAAAATAGACCTGCATATTTAAACAGAAACGAATGGTCAAGATAAAAATCAACAAACTGCTGGTGTATATACAGTATAGCTAACTGGATGAAATATAAAGCCAAGTTTACTTTTATTTACTTATTGTTGAACTACAAAACGCTGTGGCATATAGGCTTGCATTGATCTGAAGACTGCTGCCATTTTCCCTATAGTCACAGCTTGGGATTTTTGTTCCATCCACTGGGCAAGTGTTACCGTCCTTCGTCGGTGAGTCTGCTCAGTGATCATCTAGTCTCTTGCCTCAGCGAACATCTATTTCAAATCGTATTTCCAAAATAACACTGTTTCAATGGTGAAATGGAAAAGCTTTTTGTTTATTTAAGAGGCAGGATTTCCGAGATCAACGTCTATCTCAGAAAAGACCAATCCAAACGGTAAATTCGTGTAAAGTGCCTTTCCCAAGGACACAACGCCGGACCGAACTGAGGCTCGAACCCCCAACCCGAAACTCACGATTACAGGTCCAATAACCTAACCAGTATGTTACCAACGCCTCTAAATCGTATTTCCAAATTAAGAAACGTTTTCAAGGATGGTAAGACAAGGTATGCGGGTGACAAGATATTTCACCTCGAGTCTATTTGATGAATCGAAACTATTAATTGAAGCAAAAAATAAACAATAAAAATAAAAATGAAAATAAACAAGTTTAAACAAAAAAGAACTCAAACGTTCTCGTAGATGTTAAGAAAATGTGTGTAGGGGG